CTGATGTTTTATGCCTGACTGGTTCGTCCATAAATTATAGTCTCGCCAAACTTGTTAGCATCAAAACATTGTTTAACTATCATACTGTACTAATCAATGTGACAGTTGTCTAGTCTTTAGTACGAACAGAATACTGTTGATTAATCTTCAATAATACTGTCTGTGAAACTGTATGACAGCGTTAGGAACCACAACATTCATTTTTTCAAGATAACAAAATAAGTGTAGTTGACGAGTAACAACTAGCAAAAAGCCTTAAATCTAGAGCTTCTTGTTGATAGACTTCAAACATATGAAGATCGTTCAAAAATTTTAAATCAAGCTAGAATTATTAGTTTATATGTATGAAACTGTGTGGAAAATGTAATAACTTGTGTCGTGTGTCCTATTAATGTACAACGTGATGATACCAACAATTAGAGAACAGTGATTTATCCACCGAACCAATGACGCATAAACCCGTATGAGCAGTCTAGAGTCCTTATCGGTCCTGTTTCTCGCCTAGAACTGCCTGTTACAGTCCTGAACATCAATCTCAGCCTCCTCCATATGAATCATGTATTTGAAACATACTGGGTTTAGATACAAACCAAACAGACCACATCGTACCATCAAATAGGAAGCAACATTTGTATAAGATTTAGCCAAAAGTGGCTGTGTATGTGGGAGACTGTAATTAATAGACTGAGAACAACTCAAGAATGGTAAATCGTATAATAATAGTCCATAGGTCAAAATGCAGCTCATAATAAGAAGAACACGAATATGAATAGTTTAGTTACTTAACAATTACACAATTAGAAAATGTATATAGTAATATTCCAGAAATAGATTCCAACAGTTGGCATTCATTATTCTCATCGGGATATAACAGAGAATGTCATAGAACAGCTAAAGAGTTTATTTTAATCTGTGAAGATTTAATAATAATACTCGCTTTACTCAATGCCATATATTTGGGTATAGACCAAAATTCTCAATAAAATTACAAGAAAATTCCCATTTTACAAATAACTAACGGTAAGAATATTGCATAATTAATGAATCTAGTCAAGTCTTATGGTGGCTTAGTTTCGTTGATCAATCACCTCGATAACCGTTTTTATATAAATCCAAACGCTGCTTGAATTCAGAAGGCAACGATATGTGGTGACTACAGTTTATTAGCGGATAGCACGGATAACAAATCTGCAAGCACATCGAGCGAATTTGTAGCAGAGAAGCGAATGTGTGTATGCGAGCAAATACAGAGGTGAATTTATAATCAAGTCGAATAAAGCTCAGCTAGACAAGGCAAAGACTAATAATAAATGGTGGAGAAGATTTGTAGCTCAGGTGGATGATTTTGATGGAATGTTTTTCTCTGAGCTGGATGGTTTGGCCGTGGAGCTTTCATCGTTCTTCTGAACGACATCAGCACAAAATTCAGATAGAAGTCGTTCAGAAGAACAATGAAAGCTCCACGACCAAACCATCCAGCTCAGAGAACAAAACTCAATCAAAAAACCTAATAATAGGATTCGAGTACATTACACATAGGGAAGACAACGATTTATCGAGCAGCATTTAATCTAGAGAGAGATATATGCATAGTCTATCACATGTGTCTAAGCGTGTACGCTTAGACAGATTATGTTTCATTAGAATCTAAATAATTCATTTCGAAGTAAATCATTTGTGTACACTGGTGATTGTCAAACATCATCACATACTGAGTGGAATTAGGAATGCAAATCATTCGATTTTAATTCAGTGAAAAGCCTGAAGGGATTGAATTTGGCTCCTTGTGTAATTTGTTCGTATACTCTTTTGAAGAGAATTTTTTTGAAATTGGTACTAAACGACTATTCACAAACACTTTGGCGTGTTCGAACAAGATTAAACTGTTGGTAACTCCCGGAAATTATTTATAGACTGTTATTATACATATGTATCCTAATTTATTCCCAATTTACTAATTGCAGTCTTCTATACTCACAGCCACTTTTGGCTTGATCTTGTATAATTATTATCTTCTATTTTATAGTGTGATGTGGTCTAGTCTGTATGCATATAAACTATGTACATCTGAAACATATATTATTCATAGAGTGAAGGTGGATATTATGTTCTGGACTCAACAATTAGGGCTAGTCGAAAAGCAACTATATCGAGGACCAATACGGATCCATAGATAACTCAAGGTTTTTAGTGTTGGTTGTTGTGTCATTGATATGGCATCAAGACAAGGTCATAGAAGTCAATATTCATATTGGTGATATTGTCACGTGATAAGTCATAGAGACTCAGATCACGGCACACCTCTAGTTTTCAGTTGTCCTGTTATCGATAGGCAACTCTCAGAAACAAACCATCTTCTTCATGATCTGTTAGATATGGGGGGGGGGATAAATGAAAAAGGTGAAACTTTGAAACTCATTCTACAGTATAGTATTATAAATATTTTTGTTATGTGTTTACCAAATATTTTGTTTACTTTTTTTCCAGGATTTTTACATTGCCTAAATTGTAATTGTTCATTCAACTCATTATCTGTGAAAAAATCTTTGGTGACCCAGGATCTAATTCGATTTGGATCGTACGAATGATTGTTATTGAAATATACGTATCGTCAATCGTCGTTTATAACTATCAAGTTAGCTCACGTTAATAAATAACGAAATTAAATAAGTCAATTATGAGAATGGAGTTTCGAATACATATATTTTGTACATTCATTGATCTGAACAAACAATCAGAGGGACGAAGCGATGAAAGCAAAGAAAAGAGAGTGAAGCGAAATGACACTCAGTGGAGATGGTGGGTGTGCCAACTCGACTTAATCAAGCGTTCATCAATATTTATAGTCACACAAAAATAATCTACAGATATGTGATGAGTAAGATAAGATATATACACACACATATGCCGTCATATAAAACCAGTCAAGCTTGATGAGCGAATGATTAAAAAGGTCAAAATGTGACTCAAAAAGGATGAATAAATTGACCAGTTTGGAAACTAGAATAAGTTATTCGGGCTTAACATAGTAACCGACACTTATTCTTAGTGCCTGTTACTCCTCGTGGAGGAGCATAGGCCACCCATCAGCACTCTCTATCCAACCCTATCCTGGACAATCCTTTCCAGCTCTTCCCAATTGTTACTCATAGTTCTCATATCTGCTTCTATTTCCCGATGTAGTGTGTTCTTTGGCCTTCCTCTTTTCCGCTTCCCTTCAGGATTCGAAGTTAGAAATTGCATCTTGATGCAGTTTGATGACTTCTTCAATGTATGTCCTACCCATTTCCAACTGACACTGTAAATCTTTAAATGTTCATTAATTACAGATTATTACTTATGTACCACAGTTACTCTAGTTTTGCATAGATTGTCATTCCTTATTTTTAGTACTATATGATCTTGTATTCAATGTATATAATCCTATGTAACTTTTGAGTTATATAAGAGACAAAGTAAATTACCTAACTTTTCTCTTATTCAAATCAGCTAACATATGGATAGAAAGAAGTTATGTAAGCTAATTCATATTAATATACTTAGTGAGTAATAGTTTTTTTGGGTATCAGTGAACTCGGTGAACCAATCAGATTTAAGATAATAGGTCTTGGATTTTAGCGCGAAATTCATTCACTCATCTGACTAAATACGGATGGATTTATACGCAACGTTTCCACGTAAACCTAATGTATCGCCCCGTGTAATAACGGTCATGTCTACGTTCATGTAATCATAAAATTTGTCATGTTATAATCTATTTTTTTATTAAATAATTAGATTATGCTATGAATTTCGCTCTGGTTGTAATTTTTATTCGCCACATCTGACTGTGTTATACTGTACGTTCATCGCGTGCTGGAATGATATCCCAAGTCATAGTAAGTTTATTCACATCGTCACCATCAGTGAATAATGATACTGAAAAAAAATAGTTGTTGTGCTGTAAACCATGTTTCTATGAGTAAATGTCTGTTGTCTTCAGTCTCAAAACATTATCCTTTGTCTTCTGTTAGTTAAGTTTGACTGGCCTATAGTTCGTGTTTTGAGTTAATCGGCTTAATTATGTACATTTAACTATTTTGAGTAATATGTCTGTACAAAAGAAACAATAATTATGACATCTGCTTAGTTTAGTATTCTTGGTTGTTGTATAATTCAGTTTAGTCGATAGAATTATACTATACAATAAGTATAGTGCTTGAAACATGTAATGAAATAGATCAGTTTAATAAGTAGAGCTGCCTGTTTTTAATGAGCACACTGATTCAAATCAGTCTGTTTGGAAATGTGCAAAAAGGTGCCTTTAATGCTGTTACTGTCATACATTATAACATAGCGATAAGTATGTTTGATGTTTATTTGTAGACTGTACATCTAGCAGTAACCATATTTCAAGATCACTGTTATTAAATAATTTCCCCAGAGTTAACATCGGTATTATAGCTGATATCAATTCGTGATGATAATAATAAAGAAAGAAACCCTAAATCGACTTTTCAACCCTAATCATCAACTGAAAATCATAATTCTGATTTATCATACTACTTTATAACCTTTAGTCTTAGTTACTAGGTGGACATTTTCAAGGTTACTCAAATATCTTCCATAAATTTTAATCTCATCATCAACTCATTATTAGAGGAAACAATTAATTAGTATCATTATAGTAAAAGAATATATATTTGTAACTAAGTATTCCCTGAAAATTAATCATTGATAGATTGTATCTCAATCATGTTGTAACGTGTGGAGTGCAGGTTAGATGCACAGAGGCTAAGACTTGCGTTCTGGACTAAACTGGCTGGGCTAGACAGCGGAGCAGGGCCAATCGGGACTCTAAGTCGTTCATTTCGTGTTTACGTGTCACTGAATCGATCAATAAAACGCTGCGCATCTAACCTGCACTCCACACGTTACAACAAATCACCAATCAATATAAACTGTATACAACAACAAAAAAGTGGAGAGGGGGGGGCGGACCCAGTACAATCATCACTTACCGCTACTTTCATGTCCACCAATAAATATAAAATTATTTTTTCTTGGATCATTATTTGGATGAAATTTCTCTTCAGATTGACTATGACTCCACCAACCAATTATGATGCCAAATAGAAAAATAGAAATGATTCTATTGAATTTTTTAATATTTCGATAATGAATTGATTTAGTATGGTAACCTTTGGGTATAAAGTTTAATGAAAGAAAGCAAAATCTAAATAAATGATCAATAATAGTTATACTAAGTGAAGTTAAAACTTTGCCTGATTACATAAGTAAGTAGCTATAAGGACTTAGTAGGTAAGTGGATAACGTGATAGTGTTTGAAGTGAATAGTACTGGATTCGAATTCCAAAGTGTGATATCAACTTTGAGATGTAGGTATATCTAGCTGATGAGTCTCAAATAGGACGAAATACGCGTTCTGAGTTTCACTGCTAGCCACTATCCATCTTTGTTTATAATGCTTGTGAATTGAGAAAATATTGAGGTAATATGCACAGTATACATATATGCCAATAAGAAACTGATCAATTTCAGTCCTAAACATCAATGAGAATATTGAAGTAAACAATACCAAGTGAATTAAACTTCCACCCATTGCACAAGCAAGTGGCTATCAGGACTCAGTAGCTAAGTGGATAACGCGAAGGCGTTTGAAGCAAACGGTACTGAGTTCGAGTCCCAGAGTGAACATCAACTCTGAGATGGAGGTACATCCAGCTGACGACTCCCAAACAGGACGAAACGCGCGTCCTGGATTCCAATGCTAGCCACTATCCATCTTTGCTTATAATGCTTGTAAGTTAAGGCAATATCGAGGCATACGCACAGTATGCACATATGCCAATAAGAGACTGATCAGTTGCAGTCCTAAACATCAATGAAAAGATTCAAGTAAACTATATCAAGTGTACAGTCGTGTTATATTATAAAATATCAAATATGAGAATCAGTTCATCATTAGCATTGAATTATCTACGAATCAGCTCTATTAAATAAATCTTAATATTTGGATATGTTATGTAATATAACTTGAAATTGTTCATAATGCTAGAGATGAATTCATTTTATGCTTTGCTAGTGTTATTTCTCGAGCTTAGATTCTTGCTACGCCGCGTATTACTTGATCACTTGAATGCTAGGATCCTTCAGATTACAAGTTAGAAAACAGAAGATAAGTAAGAAGGAATGTTATTCTAAACAGTGTGAAATATAGCACAAAGCTCTCAGGTATTTAAAAACTTTGGGTAAAAATGAAATCAACATTACAGTTATCCAGTCCGCATACAGTGGTTTTAGTATGTATCCAAGATTTTGGAATGTTCTTCCAAAAGAAGATTGAATGGAATATCTTCGAGTTTTTTTTTGAGCTTCTTAGAGCTTCCTTGAGTTCATTCCGAGGATGTCCTTACAGTTATAATATCTTAATTTTTACTGTTGGTCCATATAATTTCTAGTTTTCTTTCATTACTATTATTAATACAACGGTTATCTCAACTCCGTTGATTATCATTTTATAAATCAACTGTCTAAGTGCTAACGTGAAGTGTAACAATGTGGAACGTTGTTTATTTGAGGTAGGTTGTATGGGTTTTTTTATGAGTAAATAACTGATTGATGTTGGTTGTGGCAGCTATTTTAGTTCATTAGCTTAATGGATATACAGTGATATCTGAAATGACGTACCTTAGAGTTAAGTTTTATTTAAAACATCACTAAGGATTATGTTTGCACGAACTGATGCTTCTTTTTTTTAACCTAATTTCTCAGCTGATTACAATTTCAAATACAATACATGCAATGATTCTCATGGTGTTTTCTTTGACTTCGTCGATACAGGTCATTAGGTAACGCGTTGAATACAAATAGGACAGTTCTGCAAAATTACTAGCTTACATTACTGAAACTGGTTATTTCTGATTATCATATGAAAACAAGTGACAATTCCGATAAGTCACAAGTTAGGACCCTACGTTACTTATCGATGTCTAAACAGACAACTCCCTAAGTATGGTTGTGTTACAGAGCTTAAAATATAGATCTGTAATTCTTTACTTCATGTGAACTGTGAACATAGTACATGTAATGTGACATACATTTTATAATTAACTTTAAAAAGATAATCTTAGTAGTCGTTATATTCCGACGAGAATAATGAATGGAAACTTTTTGGATCCATTTATAGACCAATACTATACGTATATTTTTATTGTATCATTGTTAAATAACTAAACTATTCTTCCTCTCATCATAAGCTTCATTTTGACCTATGAACTATTATTATATGATCTACCATTCTTGAGTTATACCCAGTTTACCAATTACTACCTCTCACATTCACAGCCACTTTTGGCTAAATCTTGTACAAATGTTGCTTCCTATTTGATGGTACGGTGTGGTCCGTCTGATTGGTATATAAACCCAATATGTTTGAAATACATGATACATATGGCGGAGGCTGAGATTGGTGTTCTGAACTTTAACAGGCAGGGCTAGGCAGGAAGAACAAATAAAGACTCTGGACTGCTCATACGGGTTTATGCGCTATTGGTCCGGTGGATAAATTACTGTTCTCTAATTGTCGATATCATTACGTTATACATTAATAGGACACAGGGTACAAGTTATAACTATTGATGACGGGCTAAAAAACAAAGAACCAAAGGCACAAAACCACAAATTATAACAGTATTGAAAAACAGTCTACAATTACCAGTCACTGACAATGAAAACTCTACTGAAGGTTTCATCATATTTTCAGAAGAAGATAACTGTAAACACTTACATTTTCATAAAGGTTACTCCAATACAACAAATAATAATACTCAAAAGTTTACAGAATCAACCAATTAGCATTATCCATGTGAAAAATAATGGCAGGATAGCAATAACAATTCCTTTATTTTGTCTTACTCATCAAAACTTCTGAAGCATAGTAGTGTCTTGTGAGAGTAAAAAGGTTAGAGGGGATTGTTAAATTTTGTAGTTTAGATGATAAAATCATCCTAGAAAATCATTGAAAACTAAGATTTAATGGTCTAATAGTTATACATTCTCCGAGATGCCTAGAGACTCCTCTATATGATGGTACATGAGCATTGTTTAGAAGTACCATACTATGACAAAATAAATTTCCAGTGTTTAATCGTTTTCTTTTATTTTCCAAGTGAAGTCATTTCATAATGTAACCTATAGGATAGGACTGTGTTCAATAAATCTACATGGATGTTAACTTAAACTGAAAGAGAATTCGGTTATCTGTGTATTTGAAATCAATAACTTCAGGGTTTTCTCATCGATGTTTAGATGATCTACTAAAATTGTGCAATTTTGAATAGAGCTTTGTTGATACTACACTTAGCCCAAAGCGTTTAATTATGATTTTGATCACCGCTGGACTTCATATATAAGGCAGTCGAGCATAGGTGGTTGTAATTTGAGAGTAATAACTGGAGTAAACTTACTTTCATAAGTTATTTATATATATATTGGCAATTTATAGATGTTAAGGTGGTTGTTGACAGTCACCACCAAAACCTATTTTATCTAGGTTTTGTACGATCTATCATCTATCAGTGTAGGAATATTTGGAATCTTGAAACAAATTATGTATCTTATCGAATTCGAACGCATGTAATCCAGTGTCATAACTAAAGACATCAATGTAGAACTATTCTGGTCATTACTACTGGGTGTTTTTTGTTGTTGTCGAAATGTAATATTCGTATTGATTGACTGATAAATGTTGATCAGTGTCGTGTTTATTTAATCTTTAGCTCTGGTCAAGATAACAACATAATTTACTGATCAGAGAATATCTCTTCTAAGAAATATTTTAGTCGCTAAATATAAATCAGTGTTATGTATGTCTAGTTTCCTGGTGGTGATCGAATTCTGTCGATTGAGTTGTAATGCAGAGATAATGCATAAGATGTCAGGTCATTTAGACTAGTGATATACAAATCTGATCAATAGAATTCAATATACAATTAAAGGATTAAATAAATATGACACTGGTTACAATTGAGTGATTCGTCCAATTGTAAATGCATCCTAGTCCTACAAGAGGTCAGTTGAAGCTTCAATAACATCTCATTAACATCTCAAACTGTGAAGCTGGAGGGAGGGCGAAACGAGATCAGATCCGCCAGGAAGCGCTATCTCCTTCAAGATTACAGACCAAACTTTCTAATAATTACTAAGTAGTACGAAACCTAGATTCAAGATGTTCTATAAACTACCTCCAGCCAACTAATTCATGCCTTCTAATGATATTTAGTATGTCAATGATTATAGATTCGATGAAAACAACTTGTTCAATATACCTTCATACAAATAGATATACATATGAGAAATATTGTGCTTACAATTATACATAATTCCTCTGGGTTGATTTCAAGTCTTCTTTCATAGCATTTTCAATTCAATTCAATTCAATGAGTTTAGATATCGGATGTAGTGCTCAGTTCAACTCATATATATGCATATTGTGTGAGTGTATGTATACATGCATTCATTCACATGGATACACACACGTGAACATTCTAAATATTTTCGTATGTGCTTGTACATACTAATAATTTTCTTATTAGTAGTATATTTTACATAAAGATCATAACACAATTTATTCATTGTTGTTTAGGCTAATAATCAACACAGGTTGATTTCATTTACAGTCTTATTGAAAATTGGGAGTCACTGAATAGCTGCTGGAGTTTCAGTAGTATGGAACTCTCCAACGGTAAGCACTCATGACATCAATTAAGACTAATAGTTATGTAAACATTCTATAATATAAATTGTTTACTTGAATTTTCCAATTGATGTTAAGCACTGCCATAAGAAACTGATTAATTGCAGTCCTAAATATCAATGGAAAGATTCAAGTAAACAATACCAAGTGAATTTAAAACTTTACCTCACTGTAATAAGAAAGTGGCTATCAGGACTTAATAGCTAAGTGAATGGTGCGATGGCGTTTGAAGCGAATGGCACGGAGTTCGAGTCCCGGACTGAACATCAACTCCGAAACATAGGTCCATCTGGCTGGAAAGTCCCAAAAATAGGACGAAACGCGCGTTCTCGATCTCACTGCCAGCCACTAATCATCTTTACTTACAATGTAGTGGACAGTACAAGGGTGGGGACACTCGGATGTATTTGACACCGAATTACAGAGCATCTCAACAAAATCTGAGAACTATATATTAAATCGTTAATTTGCAAAATCTCCATCGATTGTCTCAAAATGACTCAGACTTCATTGTTCTTACATTTTCATAGAAATTGCATTCCAGTCCAGCTCTTGCTTTCTTGATCTTCCCTCATCATCTGCTGCCAGACAATCCAATCCTGACTCGCATAATATACTACTTATATCAATATAAGTAGCACGCACCACAATATTTCTATAATATAGATGATTAGAAGATCTCTTCTAATCATTTAGATAATGTAGTATCATTTGACAGTTTAACATAAATTGACTAATAGAAGATTAATTGAGTGATATATTCATAGTAAAACAGTTCAATTTATAATTATTAGCAAAGTTTATATAGACAACTAACAATAGTAATATGATTGTCATAACAAATTAGAAGTAATCGAATTATGATTGTACTAACTAAGAATACGCGAACTAGTGTAATTTAAGATAAGTAGAACTAGATGAACATAAATGAATGTATTACAATTGGAATTCGTAAGTAGTAAGAAATCAAGTACAAAGGAATCATCAGTAAGTACAAAATTCCACAACTGTCACAGCGTAAATGAACATCTGGATTCCTGTAATACGTTGTGCGTCTTATTCTTAGCTCTAGAATATGTGTCTATCTGGTTGTGTATTATGTATAGACTCTGTATGATTTAAAATGTACTCATTGATATTAGAATTCATAACGGAGATGGGACTATAATTTATGGATGACCTTTGAGCAACCGTAGACTGACCTTGAGGGTGTCCACCTAATTACTAGGACTAAAATGAGGGTTATAAACCTGTATGAGGGGTTGAAATTATGATTTACAGTTGATGATTAAGGTTAGAAATTAGATTTCGGGTTTTCATCACGGACTGATATAAGTTATAATGCCAAAACTCTATTTATCCGAATGAATGAGTGAATTTCATGCCAAAATGCGAGACCTGTTATCTTATACCTGATTGGTTCGTTCACAAATTATAATCTCGCCCCAAGGATTTATCAATTATTTCTAATAGACCTTTCGTAGATTGTGGAAAAACTAGTTCATGGACGAAGATTTTGTTAAAGCAATTTCATCATTGTTTTTTTTGTGTACAGTCTGGTAATTCTGCACTGAAAGACTTTATCTCCTCTCCTCTCCGAGTCTTTGAATTTTGCAGCAGTAATAGAATTGATGATTGTTTTCAAGGTCTTGAAATTTCTTGCTTGTGCATCAGAAGGGGGGGGGCTTCGGAGTCGTGAGTGATTTTTTTTTCACTTTGATTCCTTAGTTAACAATCTATCAAGAACTTTATTGGAACCTTCTTCAATGGTCGATAAGGAAAGATGTTCTTGAAGCATTCATAACTTTTCTAGACCCATGATAGATGGTCTACAATCAGTGATAAAGAATTCACAATTTATGTTTGAAGATTTAACGTTTCTAATCAACGAATTGCAACACTCAAGAATAGGAAGTTTATGACCCATAATACTTGAAATTAAAACTTTGATAGGCATAATTATAGAAACGGGATTTAATGACTTCAACCTTCCAACTGACATGATAGATTTAATACTACTAGTGTCAACGATAAAATTGTGAAAAGCACCATCGGACAAATATAATCATGTTTGAATATGAAGTGAATAACTGGAAGTTGTAAATAAGGATAGTATATGATTATTAGAATCACCCAAATTGATAGGGTCTAAATTACTAAGTTTAGCATTACTGACGGTGAAATGAACAAGAGTTTTACAAACCGACTAGATGTGTCCCATTTTACCATAATTAAACCATTTAGCATGACTAAAAACACATGAATTACATAAGTGAAGTTTACTATAGGATAAGTATTTACCAAACTTGTGTTCACCTCTGTAGCCTAATTTGCAAGTCTTTGTTGAACCGCTTATCATATTTCCACGAGGATGGGAACCATTATTAAACATACGGGAGATTGAGCGACATTGAGACAGCAGTTCATCACGACGACTGAGGAAATTATTAAAAATTTTCAATGACTGAAAATCAAGCTCATTTACTACCTCATAGTTATAATTTTTTGGAATGAAGTTTTGGGTTTCTGAATTAATTCTCTTTCTAAATTCGGAATATTTATTTCAGTAATCAACTGATAACGAAGTCGAGTTTCCGAAGTTGCACCTCATAACCTGTTTCTGTTGTTCAAGTACAAAGTCTTTAACTTTCTTATTATTTTGTCGCGTCATTTTATGAAACTTCGATCTTGCTTTGTATTCATAGCTAGCACACTGCCCGTAATTTCTTGAAAGATTCATATGACAATGGAATTGAATTTTCTGGAAAAGTCAGGTTCTTTAACAGTTTATGAGCTTCTTTACCAACATTGTGAAGCTTTTATATATATTTACCTGTGTGCATGGATTCTAATGTATTGATATCTTGTTCTATCAGACAACTGGAACTCAAAGCAACTGTCAACCAACACAAAGGTCAGGATTTTCAACACAAATGCCAAGACAATTCCACTGTATGTGGCGGAAACCTGGAGAACTACGAAAGCAATCATCCAGAAGATACATGTGTTTATTAACAGTTGTCCACGCAAAATACTTCGGATCCGTTGGCCAGACACTATTAGCAACAATGTACTGTGGGAGAGAACAAACCAGATTCCAGTGGAGGAAGAAATCAGGAAGAAGCGCTGGAAGTGGATAGGACACACATTGAGGAAAGCACCCAACTGCGTCACAAGGCAAGCCCTCACATGGAATCCTCAAGGCCAAAGGAAAAGAGGAAGACCAAAGAACACATTACGCCGAGAAATGGAGATAGACATGCGAAAAATGAACAAGAATTGGATGGAATTAGAAAAGAAGGCCCAGGACAGAGTGTGTTGGAGAATGCTGGTCGGCGGCCTATGCTCCATTGGGAGTAACAGGCGTAAGTAAGTAAGTCTATCAGATAATATACAAAGAGAAAGATATAAATGAAGTGAATGATTATTATCTGATAAGATAACACCTTCCAATAGTTTGCAAGATTTTAAATGTCTATCTAGAACTACATTAATTATAACCTTAAAAGTTTTTCCAAGCATCCTACTAACTACCTTCCGTACTCTCTGTAATATGGCAAAACGTATGTTCATAAGCTTGGAAAAGTACAATGGAGAACAGTAAAGAATAACAAGTAATGTGAAAGAATTAGAAAACAAAATCGTAAAATTAAATGTTGAATAATGGCTAAAGCATTCAGTTTGTTTATATGATAAGTTGAACGGAAAACATACTTCAATATAAATAAAACATGAGAAGATCAGAATAGATCAGTAGGAAAACTTACTCTGGGTTAGATTTAGATAAGATCTGAAGTTTGATCTATCATTTGATATCATCGGGATTTATTTTTATGTAGTTAAACTGTGCCATAAAAGTACTTCTATCCAATGCTTCATATGGTTCTTAATTAACTTCCAGTTCATGTTAATTCATCATAAAAATCGACTATCAAATTGAATATACATATGATAGTATACACTGAAGTCGGTATGAAGTGGTATAAACCCTATAACTGTTAACTAAGCGGGTATTTTTACTCGGCAGCTCATCGTCAATGTTTGAACAGAAAGGTAGCGCGTTCAAGTTCTAACATGAACATCACCACAGGGATATGGTAGATACATATGGTTGACTAGCCCGTGATTGGACGAAATATGCGTTATGGATTCTACTATCAGCTACAACTGTTACGTCCTTTACTTGATTATGGCATAATACGATATACTGTAGTGGCTGTGCTTCGTTAATTAATCACCCTCGAACCGCTATCGTATAATCCACAACGATGTTTGAAATCAGAAGGCAAAAAGAAGCAGCTACTACAGTTTATATAGTAAATAAATCGGACCAGACAGCAGAGAGGCAAAATGAATGAGCAAGCGAACTACGATTGTAGCAGTAGCAAGTAGTAGTAGTTGTAGTAGTAGTAGTTAATGGGTGCAAATGTACACATATATATATGTATAGGAAAATGGATGAGTCAGCGAATAGACTAAGCAGTTAATAATGAAGCTAGCAGAATGAATACATGCGTAGGCGCTAAACAATTTTGAAGCATATGTATTTCATACAAGCATAATAATAAAGATAGTACAACAAGTTGTTATATCATGGATGACTTTGTCCATTAAATAGGTCAACAAAAGACGTTGATTGAACTAAACTCGATTTCACGTGAGTCACTATAATACA